TATTAGAACTCAGAAGTAAGAATAATCGTTTAGGATTTAGTCCAACAAAAGATTTTCCAAGGAAGAATATTTTATCACTGATATTATTTAGAATTGCAAATGAGTGGTGATAATAAAAACAGACTTTTAGTTGTTTTTATTATTTTTAAGTTCTCTGCAGGAAATGCATCTCCTTATTGCTGGCACCTGGGACACACAACTGTGTCACTTCTTTGGTAGGCTGCTATTTGGCCCCTCTTCCTAACTTTTGAGTGTGAACATGTCAAAATTAATTACTATTTTTTTCTACCACAATGTCATTATCTGTAGAATGGGAATAAGATTCCATAGGTCTGTTGTAAGGATTCGATGAGAAAATGCATGTAAAGTGCTTAGAATAGTGTCTGGCATAGTCTCAAGAGTTCATTAGACATTAGCTACTGTTACTTTGTTATAATTTATAATCATCCTAAAAAGATATATTTTACCTCTTTTTGCATCTGTTACTTTTCTCCCATTCTGGTTTTTGAAAACTGTTTTTTTAGAGCTGCTTTAGATTGACAGCAAAATTGAGTGCAAGATACAGAGATTTCCCATATATCACCCTCTGCCATGATCAGCATCTCCCACCAGAATGATGTGTTTGTCAGAATTGATGAACTTGCATTGACACATTATCACCCAAAGTTCATAGTTATATTAGGGTTTATTCTTAGCAGTGTACATTCTTCAGTTTTGAAGAAATGTATATAACATTTATCCATCATCATAAGAGAAGATATAAATGTAAATGCACCCAACGACTGAGCTTCAAAATGCATGAAGTAGAAACCAACAGAATTGAACAGAGACATAAACAGATCTGCAATTATAATTGGAGATTTTACTGCTCTTCTCTTGGGACTCTGCAGAACTCTAGGGGATAGAAAATCAGCAATGATGTAGAAGAACTGCACAGCAGTTGTAATCGACGTTTGTGGAACACCACCCAACAACGAGAATACACACTTTTCAAGTGTACATGGATCATTCAGGATAAACTACATCCTGAGTCATAAAAACAAAAATTAAACTTAAAAGAATTGAAATCCTCAAGTATGTTCTCTCACCATTATAAAATTAGATTAGAAATAAGTAACAGAAGATGACAAAATTCAAACTCGTAGAAATAACACGTATAAACAATCCATGGATCAAAAAGTCTCCAGGGAAATTTTAAAATGTTTTGAATTATGTGAAAATGAAAACACAGCACATCACAATTTGTGGGCTACAGCCAAAGATGTGCTAAGAGGCATTGAGTACATTTATCAGCAAAAGATGTCTCAATAATATAAGCTTCTGCTGTATGAAGCTAGAAATAAAGAGCAAAACGAACCCAAGTCATACAGAAGAAAGGAGATAATAAAGAGCAGAAGTGAATCAAATTGAAAACAAGAAAAAAAGAAAAATCAGTGAAACCTAAAGCCGCTTTTCTTTTTTTAATGAAAAAGATCAATAAAAGCCATAAGCCTATAGCCAGACTAGCAAGGAATAAAAAGTAAAAAAGAAGATACAAATTACTGACATCAGGAATGAAAGAGGAGCTATCGCCATAGAGTGGATGGAGTGAAGAGGACAGTACGAAAAACCAGCTCTGTGAGTGTTGATTAAACAACTTAGAGGAAACAGACCAAATCCTGAGAAAACATTACTAGTTTCCCATTTATGTTGTAACAAATCACCATGAATTTAGTGGCTTAAAACAGTATAAATTTATTATCTCACAGTTCTGGAGGCTGGAATAATGTGTGTCTCACTAGGATAAAATCAAGGCCACAGGACTGTGTCCTTTCTGGAGGCTCAGCGGGAGGATCTGTTTCCTTGTCATTTTCCAGCAGACTCTACACAGAGGTCGACAAGTTGGTTTTCAAAATTATGTAGAAATGTTGAGAATTAGAATAATCAAGACAAACTTAGCTACCTGATTTTAAGACTTACTATTGAGTTATAGTGATTACGACAGCGTGGTATTGGCATAGGATATAGACGAATGGATTAACTGTAATGTAATATAGAATCTAGAAGTAGACTAACAAATACAGTATATTGATTTTTGACAAAAGTGTGACAACAATTTAGTGCTAGAAAGTTAAATAATGCTGGAACAAGTGTAGTCTTTTGGGGGGGAAATAATATGGATTACAGACCTAAATGTGAAAAATAAAAAACAGGATTATATCTTCATGACCTTGGGGTTAATAACCATTAAAGAAAAAAATTGATAAATTGGGCTTCATCAGAGTGAAAAACTTCTCATCAAAAGACACCACTAAGAATGTCAAGAAGGCTACATATTGGGAGAAAATGTTGGCCCTACACATATGTGACAAAAGACAGACATCTAGAGTACACAAAGAGTTAATACCTCAGTTCTCTTGACCCCCTAAACTAGAGCAAGATTGAGTGCAGTGGTGCTCAAATTCAGATGGCCAAGAATTCATAGGAAATATGATGGAGTGGTACATGTGTGCTAAACAGGACTCTTGTTTGCAAATGACCAAGCTTGGTCCCACTTAAACCAGAAAAGACTAATAATACATAGCAACAGAATTCATGAGTGGGCTGGTGTGTCAGGCTCAGTCACAGCCAAAGAGTTGAACTGTCTGTGTCTACGAGAGTCTACCTTTCTGTTTTCCTCTGGGACGGTTCAGTTTTCAGGCAGAACTCGGCCACACGCAGCTTCCAGGCACAGAGCGCTCCAGGAACTTGAGTATCTGGTAGTGTTCATCCTTTTCCTTGCTCTGTATCTAGAATATGCCAGTCCCAGGCCCTTCAGCATGTTTCACTTCTGCTTCACCCAGCTCACATGCTTCCGCCATCAGAGGCCTTTCTGAGATTCTTTGACCTGCAAAGTTTTTCTTTTTTGCTTTTGGCTGTTGTTTTATCCATGCATATATTATCTTTGCTTTAAGTTCCTTCAGCTCCAAGATCCTTGTAGAACCTGATAGAGAGCTGGGCACACAGTAGGCTTAATAAATAATGGGCAGTTATTGCGTGCTTGAGTTTTTTGGACCTGCCTGTTGCAGTCCTTTGTCAGGCAGTTCCAGATATGTGTCAGCTAGCTGGCTTTTACTTAAGAATATCATTTGTGTACGTGTTAGTTACTTAAAAGTAACTTACCACTTCCTAGTCACTCTTTGAGGAAGCTTCATCACCTGTTACGTGGCATATTCATGTTTCTTACACAAAAGGAGTCAGAATAGCAGCAATGGTATGGGAGTTATGGCTGCATGTAAGTCTTTAAACAATCATTTTGTCTAGAAGCAAAACTCATTCTTTTTATCCAATTCAGTAATCATTTTTGGCACTCATCAAGAACAGTGGTTCTCAGGAGTCACTTAGAGGGCATTTTAACACATGAATTGCTGGACCTCCAGAGTTTCTGATTCAGTAGGTGTGGGATGAGCTGAAAATTTTGCATTTTTAACAACTACTCCGGTGATGCTGATGCTAGTGGTCAGAACCAGGCCTTGGGACCAATTTGCCAGCAGATTTAAAGTGCGTCGCACATCAGAATCGCTTAAGAGTTTTTTCCCCGACTCCTTTTTCAGAACTAGCCTTCGCTCAGTTAAGTAAAGCCTTTGGAGGCCCTACTCAGGCCTGGTGTTAGCAGGATTTTATGAGTATTTCTGACAGCATTGGCTCCATAACAAATATAGACAAAATTTCTTTACTTCACATCTCCATAGCACCTGTGTGATGAATATAAATGGTGAAAGTATTGGCCAGCTGTGTAGTTCGGTGGTTCTTATTCCCCAAAATAGGTATTCCCGATTCTGTCGATAATTCACTCTTTGGTCATAGCCAGTTCCTCTCATTTTCAAAGCTTCGGTTTTCTTATCTTTAACGTGACATTAAAAACACCTTTCTTGTCATTTCGCAGTCATCATTGTAAGAATCATCGATGATGGTAAATCTAGATTGGGGGCAATGAGTTTTCATGAAAATTATTTGCATGGTCTTGAAATGTTTCCCTCAGATTACCTATTAATTTCAAAGGGGGGAAAGTCCCTATGAAGTGGAGAAGCGAAATCACTGACTGGGTTATCACATTTAACATCATCGACAGGAAGACAGACATCTGATCTCCAGATGGTACCATTGCAAGGACACAGCATCACTTATGTGGTAGTCTGACTGATAATACATAACTGCAATTAATCAAGGAAACATCAGAGAAACCCAAAATGAGGAGCATTCTATTTTTTAAGGGCGTGTATTCTTAAATATGAATGTCTATAAAAGATAAAGATTAAGAAACTGTTCCAGCTTAAAGGTGATTAAAGATACATGATAACTAAAAGCAATAAGTGATGCTAGGCAGAGTCTTGTACTGAAGGAGACAAAGCATTGGGTCAAGTGACAAACCGGAATGTGGGTGGTAGATTAGATTAAAAGTATTGTGTCAATTTTGAATTTCCTGAGGTTGATAAACAGTACTGCGGTCATGTGAGATAATCTCTTTATTCTTAGGAAATACACGTCAAAATACTTAAAGGTAAAAATACGTGATGTGTGTAGCTTAATCTCTAATGGGTCAGAAAAATATGAGAGAGAGCAAGCAAATGAAAAAGCAAGTGAAGGAAAGATACGGGTGTTCTTTGTACTATTTATGCAACTTTGGAAAAGTTATTCCAAAATAAAAATATTAAAAACAAAAAACAAACTTCTGCTCAGGGTAGTTATAACATTTTTTAAAAATCTATATAAAAATGTTTTCAAAGAGCAATGCGCTCTACAAATGACGGTTCAACCACTGCTTTGTCTGGGTCCCTTCATGCCTCATTCCGTGGGTGGCGTTAGCTCCTGAGAACCTGCAGGAGGTCAGCATCGCCCCAATTTGTAACACCCAACCTGCCAGTGGGGCAGCTGCTTTCGTGTCTTGTGCAATGAATGCTTCACACGAATGTGTGACTCACCTGAACAGTCTGTTGTTACATATTGTACCTTTACCTTTATAAAGTATATTTGTCTTTCAGCCCAAAATGGAGTTAATCCTGACTGGGAGAAGAAAGTAATTGAATATTTTAAAGAAAAGCTGAAGGAAAATAATGCTCCTAAATGGGTAAGTTTATTGCTAGTTTTGGAGGGGAAGAGAGGGTGGGGATGACTTCCATTTTCTCAGAGTAGTAATCCACATATGATTTAAAAATATATAAATTAATGTGTACTGCTTCTGCTTTAAGTGCATATGTATTAAAAGATTTTGGTCTCTTGCAACTTCAACTTAAATTCAAGCAATTAAGTGTGTCTGTATTGGTACCTCTAGGTGGCAGTAACTGTCCGTAGTTGTGAGAGCTTCGATGACTACCTTTATTTAAAAAAAACTAGCGTGTACTAGTTAAGAACTCAATAAAGCAAATGCCTTTCTGCTGCTTGAAAAGTGTTCTGAAGGAAAAGCATCTTTTTACATTGTAGTCAAATGTCTTTATACAAACTTGCAAGAACCCAGAAGTACTTTTGTCCAGCAATTATGTTGTCGACTGTGAGATTATCGGCTCCCTAAAGGGGAGGATTTTGTGCATGTGTGTTGCGGTTTGGATCTGGATATAAAGTCTGTGGATGTGTATGAGCTTAATGTTTTATAGACAGAATATTTTTATTACCTCGATTGCTTGTTTTCCTTTAAGGTACCATCACTGAATGAGGTTCCCCTTCATTATTTGAAACCTAACAGTTTTGTGAAGTTTCGCTGCATGATTCAGGATATGTTTGACCCTGAGTTTTACATGGGAGTTTATGAAACGGTTAACCGAAACACAAAAGCACGTGTATGTATTTCTTTCTTTCATGGAACTTGTCTCTTTATAATTAGTGGTATTAATTTTGTCCTTGTGTTGTTTATGGTAGTTTTGATTCAGGTATACTGATACTGTTATCCTTTGTTTGGGTCACAGGTTCTTCATTTTGGAAAATATAGAGATGTAGCAGAGTGTGGGGTATGTATCCTTAAGATACATAAGACATTTTTAATAAGAATTTGTTCTAAGCAGAGAATTTATTACTTTCCTTTGGTTGATCTTAAATTTAATTACTTTGTGTATGAATAAGGTCTAAGAAGTCATGTGGAATGTTTTCTTTGCCTTTGTTTCTATGATATATTTTGATCTTTAAAAATCTCTCAGGTGGAATATCGTAAATGACAATATTATAAATTCCTTTCCTCAATGTCTGTATACTTGGTTTAAAAAATTACGGGTTCTAATTCTTTAAAAATGAAAGTGGAAGATTAACTTAGGGCTTAACACTTGCTTAATTAAATTTAATTATATTCTTCCTTCTTTTCCTGAGAGAAAAGTTTTTAATAAGCTCTCTTTGATAAAAAGAAATAATAGCAGCTCTCTAACACATCAATGATGGAAGAGGGAAGGAGGCAGAACAGTGGATATAAAAGAGACAGTTGAGATAGAAACTTACTAGAAAAGCAGTTAGAGAGAAACCACAGTACATCTGCATTTTTTTAAAACAGATTTTCTGATAATAAATGAACAACACGCAGAATGAAATTTAATTTTATTCAGACACCTGTTCAACATTCCTGGCGTTGTCACTGGAGAAAGTTTAAAGTCTAATGGTTTAATTGTAAAAAAAAAAAAAAAAATTAGCATGTCCAAAAATGTCCAAAAATTTCGTTCCGAAAATGTCTCCCATATTTTGTTTTTTTGTGTGTGTTTTTTTAATGTGATTCTATCAAAACAAATGAGAACTGTCAATTTTTGGAACGAAAACGGGTATTACAGGTGAGGATTAACCAAGTAGGGGGAAGCCTCCATAGGAAGGTGGGACCTCAGTGGGGAGAGTGGGGTTCCCTCCTTTCTGGGCGTGGTTCCCTGCAGATCCACAAGCTCAGTTTAATCAGTTTTTCTGGGGCTTTTTACGTCCTGGGAGTCTGGCTCCTGCTTACTCAAATCTCAAGAGATTGATTTATAAACCCTAAAACCAGCCCATTAAGTCACAGAAGTTGTTCCTCATTGACCAGAGTGTTCTAATTCAATGGGACAATCTGGACAGAAAAACAACCCTAATTTGGAAGATTGCCAAAAAGGTTTTATTAAACAAAAACGTAACTTCCTACAATTATTTACAGTAATGGACTCATGAAAGATGGATTTATTTAATCTAACACATGCTGACCTTAAGGTCTCCCAATGTCTTTTTTCTTTTAGAGTGTTTCCGTAAGATAAAATGTGCCATCTAATGAATCAACTTTTAAATGCTTACTGGATCCCTGTTTGAGGAGCCTAAGGCAAATATGTGAATACACAACCTTCTCTAGTACCCAGTAGTATAGTGTCACTATAGCTCAGTAACGTCAGCGTCTGTAAATAGGAAAATATTTATCTGTGACACTTCCAAAGAGAAGACAACTTGTACTATGTTGCTAAGAGTCATAAATAAAAGCACCATACCAAGAAAACGGGACTTTGGGCCTGGAAAGAAACAAATCTCAGCTTATACGTATTATCTCGGGCTCAAATTTGATGTCTCCTGGGTCTTTTTTTTTTCTCCCCTACAAAATGGAATATACATCTTATTTACTTGTAAGATTTTTTTGTACTACAAAATTAATGTTTATTAAAGTAATTTTTCAATATTGTATCATGGGTCCTTTCCTGTTCTTAGCATTTGCTAAGAATATGCTCTTTCTAGAGAATAGTAGCTGAGACTTAAGTTTCATCTCAGAGCTACCTTGTAATGAATATTTTATTAAATTCTTATTTTATAGGCTGATTCTGATACTTCACTGTGTAAGAAACAGTGGGATTACTATGTGCTTTGTCTTTGGAAAAAATAAAGCATCCTGTTTATTAAAAAGGATTGAATTTTGTAACATAGGGTGCTGTGTATTATGGATTGAAGGAAGGAAGTATATTGATTATTGCTTACAAAATGATTTTATATGTTTTCTTTTGAAAAATAATAGTTTGAATTTAGTAGTAGCTTGTTAATTAACTCATAATGTGAAATATTTACTATGGTTTTATAAATAACATGAAAATGTGGTTGCTAATTTTTAAATTTTTTTAAGTAAAATTCTAAAAATACTTTTCGTGTACATCACAGCCTCAACAAGAAGTTGATTTAAACTCTCCACGAACTACCACTTTGGAAAGGCAGACATTCTATTGTGTCCCAGTGCCTGGGGAATCTGCGTGGGCAAA